TCGGTGGAGGTCTCCAGCCAGGGTACTAGGATCCCGCCAACACTTAGGAGGGGTTGTTTTTTAAGTATTTGTGTTGATCTTGAGAGAGAGAGAGAGAGAGAGAGAGAGAGAGAGAGAGAGACATTGATGTGACAGTAAAACATGGACTGGCTGCCTCCTGCACGCCCCCTACTGGAATCAAGCCTGAAACCCTGGCATGTGCCCGACCGGGAATCCAACCAGCAACCTTTGGGCACAGGAAGAAGCCCAACCGACTGAGCCACAGCAGCCAGGGCAGAGGCTTGCTTTTCTAAATCCCTTCCAGGATGGTAATAGCATGGCAGACTCGTCCGGTGCCAAGCCAGGTGTCCACCGACGGGCCAATGAACTAGCTGACATAAATCAGGAAACCCAGGCTGGTGGATTTGAATATCTAGGTCAGCCTCTTCAGCAAATCTGGGAGGATCCTCGGTCACCATAGGGAATTCTCTAACTATGGCTTGTCATTCAGCTTTAGTGCAGAGATCGGATGAACTGAAAGGTCTGTTGGGATCCTCAGAGGACTGAACTTGAACCTGGGGCAGGGCCCCAGAGCAAGGAGCAGGCAGTGGAAGGTCAGACGCTGCAGGAGCTGGGGAAGAGGACCAGCGCTCCGAGGTGGTCCCTGAGACATTGAAGTACATTTGAAAGGCAAGACAGTACTGTGCTGCAGGTGAGCAGGCCGCTTCTTTTTTTAAAACATTTTTTCTTTATTGATTTTAGAGAGAGAGAGAGAGAGGTGGAAACACTGGTGAGAGAGAACATCGATTGGCCGCCTCCTGTATGCCCCCCACTGGGGATCAGGCCCGCAACCTGGGCATGTGCCCTGACTGGGAATCAAACCAGTTACCTCTTGGTGCAGGGTTGACGCTCAACCACTGAGCCACATGGGCCAGGCAGCAGGTAGTCTCTGAAGCTTTTTTTTTTTTCCTCTTTAAAAGTTTAGTAGCCTATACCACTCGAAATAGGCCTTCCATTCACCTTTGCCTATTTTAGCACTGTTATTGTCCGGTTTTAAGAAGGTAAGTTTGGCCCTGCTGGTGTAGCTCAGTTGGTTGGAGCGTCATCCTGTACCCCAAAAAGGTGGCGGGTTCAATTCCCGGTCAGGGCACATGCTCTGGTTTTGGATTCAATCCCCAGGTGGGGCCCCTGCAGGAGGCAACCAATCTATGTTTCTTTCTCTGTCTCCCTTCCTCTCCATAGAATCAATAAAAAAAAAAGGAAGTTTGCCCTGCCTGGTTTGGCTCAGCAGTTAGAGCGTCGGCCCACGGACCAATGAGTTGCAGGTCTAATCTGGTCAGGGGCACGTGCCTTAGTGACGGTTTGTCCCCAGCCCTGGTCAGGTTGTGCGGGAGGCAACGAGTCGATGTGGCTCTATCATATCGGTGTTTCTCTCTGTCTCTGTCTCTCTCTCGCACCCCCTTCCACACTATCTGATAATAAGTAGAAAAATATCCTCAGGTAAGGAATATAAAAACAAAACAAAAACCAAAAAAAGCCTTGGCCGGTTTGGCTCAGCGGTTAGACCGTTGGCCCGCGGACTAGAGAATCCTGGGTTCGGTTCCCGCTAAGGGCACGCACCTCGGTTGCAGTTTGTCCCCGGCCCCGGTTGGGGTTATGTGGGTGACAACCAGTCGATATGTCTCTCACATCAATGTTTCTCTCTCTCTTCCCCATTCTCTCCCTCCTACTCTATCTGAAGATAAATGTAAAAATGTCCTCAGGTGAGATTAAAAAACAAAACAAAACCAAAACAAAAGAAAGGAAGTTTAGAAATCTTTTTTTTTAAATCCTCACCTGAGGACATTTTTTGAGTTTTTGTTCAGATAGAGTGGGAGGGAGAGAGAGAGAAGCATCGACATGAAAGGGACACATCGAGTGGTCACAACCCACATGACCCAACCAGGGCCGGCGACAAACTGCAACCGAGGTACATGCCCTCAGCGGGAACCAAACCCGGGTCTCTCTGGACCGCAGGCCGATGCTCTAACCACTGAGCAAAACCGACCAGGGCTGGAAATCTTAAAGGTTCCCCACAATGGCCATTGATATTCTAAATTACTTTTGGTCAAATCTATCCATTTAGTTAAATATGCCCATAAGGAGTGACCTGGGCTTTTCAACATGAGCTCCTGGACCTGGGGCACTCTGAAAATATTTAAATAACCGAGACCCCACTTTCCTGAGACAACAGGCCCCCGCTAACCCAGTAGGGCCCGAAGCAATCCCTGGCCAGGACCCCAGGTGGAATTATGAGGACAATGGGGTGGGTGGGAAAGTCAGGGACCATATGGTAAGATGTCTCATTGAGGGACTTAAAAAAGCCTCATACAAGGCCGTTAACTATGCAAAACTGTCTGAAATAATCCAGGAAAGGAATGAAAACCCTGCAAGTTTTCTATCCCGCCTTACACAGGCTACGAGATGTACTAACTTAGATCCCACCAGCCCAGATGGGACTGTCATCGTAAACCTGAGATTTATCTCTCAGTCGGCCCCAGACAGTAGGAGAAAGTTATAAAAACTGGAAGATGGCCCTCAATGGGAACTTCTAAATCTAGCCTATCAGGTTTTATTTTTATTTTTTTATCCTCACTCGAGGACATTTTTCCATTTTTTGTTCAGATAGGGCAGGAGGGAGAGAGAGGAAGAGAGAGAGAAACATCGACATGAAAGGGACACATCGAGTGGCTGCAACCTGCATTCCCAACCAGGGCCGGGGACAAACTGCAACCGAGGTACATGCCCTTAGTGGGAACCAGACCCGGGTCTCTCTGGACCGCAGGCCGACGCTCTAACAGCTGAGTCAAACCGGCCAGGGCTGTAAATTATTCTTTATTTCAGTTAGTGCATCCTTCATTTCTGACTGGTCCTTTCTTATTTTGCTGATGTTCTCAATGAGTTCCTTGGAAGTCTCACTATGTTCCTTGTATATCTCACCAAGTTCCTTGAGTAACGTTATAACTGGTGTTTTGAACTCTGCATCTGATTGAGTGCTTATCTCTGTTTTGTTTACTTCTTTTCCTGGAGTTCTGTTCTGTTCTTTCATTTGGGACGTGTTTCTTTGTCTCCTCTTTGGCTGCTTCCCTGCGATTGTTTCTATGTATTAGGAGAGTTGCTACATAAGTCTCCTAGGCTTATTGTTGGTGGCCTATATTTGTAGGTGTCCTGTAGGATCCAATGGCACAGCCTCCCTGATCAACACAGCTGGATCCTCGAGCTGCACCCCTAGTGTGGACTGTACACCCTTCTGTTGTATTTGTCTTGATTGTTGTTGGCATGTCAATGGGAGGGATTTACTCAGGCTGATCAGCTGCAAAGACTGGCTGTACCCACTGACCACTGGCCTCCGACTCCCTTGGAGGATCAGCTGTGCAGGGCCCACCACACAGAGCAAGACTTACTTCAGCAGGGCTCTGGTACCCACTGCGTCTGCTCATTGAGTGTGTCACTTGTGGAGGTGGTTGGGTGGTGGTGTTTCGATGTGGTCTGAAGCTGTCCACTGGGTGTGCTGGCTCTGGGGCAAGGTCAGCCACTGCCTGTGTTCTACCCGGGGCCACCAGGCATAAGCTACAGAGTGATCTGCCGATGGCTGCTTCTTGTGCTGGACTTGGAGGTGTGCAGGAAAAACCAAGTTGTGAACCAAGGCTGGTTGCTTCTAGTGCCAGGCCTGGGGCCACTTAGTGAGAGGTATGGGGCTTGCTGAGGCCAGATGCTGCTTGTTTGAGAGATTTTAGGAAACTCTGAAGCAGGATCCAAGACAGGCCAATCCTATGGTAAAGCCACTGGAGACAGCTTGGGTGGGCCCAAAAGTTGAGTAGGGCAAGACCTCAGGGAATCACCAGGGCGGGGCAAACAGAGTGAGCCAGGGTGCTGGAGGCCCAGCTATGGCTGCCCTCTGCCTCCCAGGGAAGGGCTCCCCAAAGGAACATCAGCCTCCGCCAGCACGTGTCCGAGAGAAAGCTGGGCCTCCTGTCTCGCCCGTTGCCAAACAACACAGTTCTTCCCCGTATGTCTCTGGTGCCTTTCAAGCTGCCTCCCCCACGCTGGAGTGCACAGGAAGCTGGTCTGAGTAAGTCCAGGCCCTTTTAAGAGGAGCTGCCAGGGGCTCCAGCAGCCTCAGCCTCCCTCAGCCTCAGTTCCCACTGATTTTGCAGCCAGAAGTGATGGGGATTCTCTTCCTGGCACTGGAACCCTGAGCGGGGCACCAGGTGTGGGACGGGGACCCCTCAGTCCTCAGGGAGGACCTTCCCAGCCGAGGTGTCCCTCCTGATTCTATCTGCCATATGTGGGTGTGGGGCCAGCCAGTCCGCCTCCACCCCTCCTATCAGTCTCCATGTGGTTCTTCAGGGTCGTCATCGCAGGACTTCCATTCGGGTGGTTCTGAAGGATGGTTGTGCTGTAGTTCCGTTGTCATTTCGACATGGTTGTGGGAGGAGGCGATCCCCGTTCACCTGGGCCCCATCTAGACCGGAAGTCCTTTTCCTTACGTGCTGGTGCCCCAATGCCTGCAGGTGGAGGGGGGGAGGGCAGAGCGACCCGCATGGCAGCGACACGGCCAGGCTGCCTCCCGCAACCCCGGCAGGGGCGAGTCCCCACCGAGGTCCGCGCCCCGGCGGGAATGGGACGGGCTCACTGGCCGGCGGGCCCGCGCCCCAGCGCCCCAGCCCCCCAGCCCCCGCGGAGCGCAGCGCGGGTCCCCGCAGTCAAGGACGCCCGGCCGAAGCATCGGTTCCGACAGCCAGGAAAGCGCCCCGCCGTGCGCCCTGTGCCCGCCGGGCCCGCACCCCGGCTCTGCGCCCAGACCGCAGGCCGGCGGGCGGCGAAGCCCTGGGCCCCGGCGGCCGGAACACGGGCCGGCGCTCGGCCCCTCCGCCTGGCGCGGCCGGCTCCTAGGAACGTTCGTGCGGCGGCAGCGTTTCCGGCCGGGCGGCGTCGGCGCGCGGACCCGCCGTGCGGGGCGGAAGTGGGCGGCTTCAGGCCGGGCTGAGCTGCGCCGCGGAGGGGCCAGGCCGAGCTGGAGGGCGCCGGGGAGCGGAGCGCGGGCGGCCCCCGCGGCCCGGGCGAGCGGGCTGCTGGGGGGCCCGCGGCGGCGCCGGCGGAGCGCGGCGGGAATGGGGCGCCGGGCCGGGCGGGGGCCGGGCCCTCCGCGATGTTCGCCGGGCTGCAGGACCTGGGCGTGGCCAATGGCGAGGACCTGAAGGAGACGCTGACCAACTGCACCGAACCGCTGAAGGCCATCGAGCAGTTTCAGGTCGGGGCGCGGGCGGGGGCGTGCGGGGGGCGGGCGGGGGGCGGGGTCCGTCCCCGTCTGTCCCCGGGCTGGCGGACCAGGTGGCCTGCGCCAGTGCCCATGGATGCGCGTCGAGGAGCCGCCAGGTTTTCGTAGTTACACCCGGCGCTGCTGGGCACATCCTTGCCGCTGCCTCCCTATTGCCTCCGGGCACCCGGGGTGCCTGCCAGACGGGGTGCGACTGTGCTTTCAGTGGTTGCCCCCAGGTCAGCAGAATTGACCCCACGCTGCCCCTCTGCTTCCCCAGACAGAGAACGGCGTGCTGCTGCCGTCCCTGCAGTCGGCCTTGCCCTTCTTGGACCTGCACGGGACCCCTCGGTTGGAGTTCCACCAGTCCGTGTTTGACGAGCTGCGGGACAAGCTGCTGGAGCGCGTGTCAGCCATCGCCTCGGAGGGGAAGGCCGAGGAAAGGTAGGCGGGCCGGTGCCATGGCAGCCCCTTCTCCGTGCGGGGCCTGGCTGGCATTTACTTCCTGCTCCCTTGGCTACACGGCCTTTCTGGGAAAGGGGGCCTCTCCCCGGTGCGTCCCGCCTGTGGACACGCATCCCTTCGCCTTCTTCTGTTGGGTTAGGCAGGCAGCTGCTCCTGAGTGGGTTCCGTGCTGCTTCCTAAGTCATTCGAGTCTTTCCAGGTACAAGAAACTGGAAGACCTTCTGGAGAAGAGTTTCTCCTTGGTGAAGATGCCGTCTCTGCAGCCAGTGGTGATGTGCGTCATGAAGCACTTGCCCAAGGTCAGAGCCCTGGGGCCGGCACAGCCGCCGAGCTCCTGGGAGGGTTTCTGAGCTGCCTCCTCCCGGACGAGCCCCGCAGAGACCGAAGCTTGGCACGCACGTGGGGGTGTGGCTCCTCTCTGGGAAAGACTGTGTGTTTAGCGTGGCTGCCTGTACCTGCCAGGGCCTGGGGTAGTCGCAGGTGCTCCTTTCAGGGGCTGGGTTTGAAGTGGTCTCTGCTGTGGGGGAAGTGGGGAGGGACGAGGCCTCTCGACCTGTTTGAGGCAGACCCTGGGACACAGGCCTGCTCACAGGGGACCTGTGTGCTCACGCAGGTCCCTGAGAAGAAGCTGAAGCTGGTCATGGCGGACAAGGAGCTGTACCGGGCTTGTGCTGTGGAGGTGAAGCGGCAGATCTGGCAGGACAACCAGGCGCTCTTTGGCGACGAGGTGTCCCCACTGCTGAAGCAGTACATCCTGGAGAAGGAGAGCGCGCTTTTCAGCTCGGAGCTCTCCGTCCTGCACAACTTCTTCAGTCCCTCCCCCAGGACGAGGCGCCAGGGCGAGGTGAGGCAGGTGCGGGCTGTGTGCAGGGGGTGGCCGAGGGGCTGCCTGGCGGCCCCCCACCCTCGCTCCCTGCGTGCATGGGTGGTTTGCTCCCGGAAGGGCGGGCTTGCCCAGTGACTGGTAACAGGGACTGGCAGCACTGCCCAGGTGTGGATCTTCCAGGTTCTGTGCTCTTGGTGCTTTGCAGCTTGGCAAGTCTTTTCAGTTAAGCTCAAGTTGCCTTCTGCTTTTACGTTTGATTCATTAGTTGCTTTGACAAACATTTCTTGAGTGTCGACTCCCCGTCATAGGTGCCTGGGCCCTTCAGCAACCCTGGAGTTGGAGGGTGCTATGTGGGGCACTTTAAGTCTCATGGGGGGGCAGACACTATGCAGTAGGTGTCCATACCGGTCACTGAGAGCTTGAGGGGTGGACCAGGGCTGCAGAGATGTAAGGGTGTGGAAGAGCCAGGTGGAGGTGTGAGCAGAGGCTGGGGGAGGGGTAGGTGGGCGGTCCCAGGGCGCAGTGGCCAGAGCCAAGAAGGAGCATGCGAGGGGGGTGGGGTGAGGTCGGAGCACCTGAAGGCACTGTGGAGACTTTGGCTTTGCCCCGTGAGGTGGGGGTCACGGAAGGTGCCTGACCTGGGCCCTGGATGCCCACCCATCCAGGAGGGAGGTGCAGTGGGCATGACATGGGCCTCATCCCTTAGGCACAGAACCACCACCTGACACGGAGCCAGTGTTTGATGAGAGAGGAGACCTGCCAGGACCAGTAGGAAAGGCGCGTGGCAGGGGGGCGGGCGATGCTGTCCCAGCGGCCGTCAGTGACGCCGTGGCCGGGGCTGTCCCCCTCCAGGTGGTGCAGAAGCTGACCCAGATGGTGGGGAAGAACGTGAAGCTGTACGACATGGTGCTGCAGTTCCTGCGGACCCTCTTCCTGCGGACACGGAACGTGCATTATTGCACACTGAGGGCAGAGCTGCTCATGTCCCTGCACGACCTGGACGTGGGCGACATCTGCTCCGTGGACCCCTGCCATAAGGTGAGTCCCTGACTGCCCTGCCCTGGCCCCGCCAGCCCCCCTCCCTCTGGTCTCCTCCTCGGCTTCTCTCTCCCTCTCCAGCCTCCTCCGGCTTTTGGGGGGCCTCTGGCTGCTTTCTGGCGAGCACCAAGGTCCAGGACCTGCCCTTTCTGCACTGCCCTGGTCCCTGGCATGGGTGCTGTGTGGCTGAGGTGGCATCGCCTCCTGAGGGGCTGTGTGTGGTGTCACACTCTGAGACCCCACAGTGGGGGCTGCCAGACAGGGGACCCTTTTTAGAAGGAGAGTCAAACACTGTGTCCTCCACACCCCCCCCCCAGACTGGTGGGGACCCAGGGCCTCAGGCCTTTTGCCTTTGCATCAATCTTGATATAGGTCCTGGCTCCAACCAGGCTTTGGAGGGGCCCTGACACCTCCCCAGGACCTAGGCTCGGGAGGGGCCCAGGAGCTCGGCCTCTGGCCACGTCCTGACTGCTTCCCCGCAGTTCACCTGGTGCCTGGACGCCTGCATCCGCGAGCGCTTCGTGGACAGCAAGAGGGCCCGGGAGCTGCAGGGCTTCCTGGACGGAGTGAGGAAGGGCCAGGAGCAAGTCCTGGGGTAAGAGCTGGCCTTCTGTGCACACCCCCAGCCCCAGGGCCTGTCCAGGGGCCTCCGGTGAGCATGCTGTGTCCACTGTAGTGTTTAATCCAGTGTGTGTTAGAACTGCCTGGCGTCCTGTGCCGACATTGAGAGGTCTGCAGGCCAGGCCCTGGGCTGGCTGTGGTGTCCGCGGCCTCTTAGGCCTGAGGGGTGGGTGGTGAGCCCCGCCTGGGGGCCCACTGTGCCCGTTTCTCCCTAGAATTGTCTCTGGGACCCCGGCTGAAATCAGGGAGCCTGGGTCAGGTTCTCAGAACCAGACCTGGTCTTAATTTTCTGGAGGACGTTAACTTCTCTGTGACTTGAGTAAATCAACTACAACTTTCAAACTGTGCTTTTTCTGGGAGGCCAGCGTGGGGTGAGCTCCCTCCGTGTGGAGGGGCCGTCTGCCCGGGTCAGTCTGCGGCAGCCAGCCCATGGCCTACCCTCCGTGGAGCAGCAGCTTCCCACGGTAATGCTGGGGGCTTGCCTTTCAGGGATCTGTCCATGATCCTGTGCGACCCCTTCGCCATCAACACTCTGTCGCTGAGCACTGTCAGGCACCTGCAGGAGCTGGTCGGCCAGGAGACGCTGCCCAGGGTGAGCGCACTGGGCCGGCCACGGGCTGCCTTTCGGGTGGGCGTGTGGGTGCGGAGCTGTGGGGCCAGGTCCATGCTGCCGGGATAAGCACCCGCACCCCACGCGTCAACCCTGCAGGGGAGCCTGTGTGAAGCTCCGGCACCGGGACCCTGCTGAGTGACGCTGGAGGTCGGGGGTAGTGAGGACTAGGGAGCTGGTGCTGAGGTTCTGTTCCCCCACAGGACAGCCCTGACCTCCTCCTGCTGCTTAGGCTGCTGGCACTGGGCCAGGGCGCATGGGACATGATCGACAGCCAGGTCTTCAAGGAGCCCAAGATGGTAATGGGACTCGGGCAGAAGTCTTTGTACAATTTTCTTGTGAGCGGCTGGGGGCTGGCATCAGGACGGTGGCCGCGGGTAGGACAGGGCAGGGGTGGGCTGTGGCAGGTTGAGCTCTCTGCCCTCTTGCCCTAGGAGGTGGAGCTCATCACCAAGTTCCTGCCGACCCTCATGTCCTTTGTGGTGGACGACTATGCCTTCAACGTGGACCAGAAGCTCCCTGCCGAGGAGAGGGCTCCGGCCACCTACCCAAACACGCTTCCGGAGGGTTTTACCAGGTATTGTTGGGGGGCAGGGTGTGGGTCGCACCTCGGCCCGGGAGGCTGTGTGCGGGCTGCTCACGGTGGTGCCCCGCAGGTACCTGCAGGAGCAGCGCATGGCTTGCGAGGTCGGGCTGTACTACGTGCTGCACATCACCAAACAGAGGAACAAGAATGCGCTTCTCCGCCTGCTGCCCGGGCTGGGTGAGTGCAGGCGCTGCTGCAGGCCTGGTCACTGCAGGGTGTGTCTCCCGGAGGTCATCGGTGCAGAACCGCGAGGAGCTCAGCCTTGTGCTCACAGACGCCCTCTGCTCTCGGCACCGTTGGGGAGAGTCCTTCCGGCAGGGCTGGGAGAGCCACCTCAGTATCCTGGTGGGCAAGGGGTGTGCAGCCTCGAAGTGCTCAGACATCGCGAGAGGGCCCGAGAGGTGAAAAGGCCTCTTCCCTGGGAGGACGGGGTAGGGCGGTTGCTGCCAGCCAGGAAGAAGAGAGAGAGAGAGAGAGAGGTCTGAGTGGACCCCTGAGCACGGTGCAGGTGCAGCGGGGAGAATGGGCTTCCGGGAGCTCACGGCCGCCCACTGTACAGGCTACCGGCCTCTGCTGGCCCAGGCCTTTCTGGGGTGCTGAGGCCTCTCCGTGAAGGCCACTGACGTTCCAGGTCACTGACGTTTCCAACGAGGAAGCACGTGTTTCCTGACTTGCCTGTGTGGAGGGAGCTGTGTCTGGGGGTGTTCATTTCCACCCAGCCGCTGTCTAACCCGACACATGAACTCATTCTCTTCCTGTTCTGGGGTCAGAGTCCAGAGTGCATGTCCCGGGGTGAAGGCAGGGGTGGCAGGGCAGGCTCCTCCTGGGGGCTTGGGTGAGGCCGGGCGCCGGGTCTCCTCAGGCAGGAGCAGCGCCCGCATGCTTGGCTGGTGGCTCCCCCTCCCCCTCCACAGCCCCTCCGTCCAGTTCCTCCTCCTCACGCTGTCTCTGCCTCTGCCCTCCTGCACCTGCCTCCCTCTCAGCTGGGCCCTGCGGGTTGTGCGGGTTCAGCCCATCCTGGACGCCTTAGCTCCTGGGTCGCTGGACGCGTCTCTGGCCAGCGCTGTGTCTGATTGGACACATCCGGGGTCAGGGTTGTAAATAACGTGGGTGCCCCCTCCTTCTGTTTGTTTCTGTGCCTTGGTTTCTGTCTGTGTTCTGAGCGTTGGCTGGAGACGGTGTCCTGCAGCCGGAGTGCAGTGTCCCCAGGGCCTGCAGCCCCCGCGGGTGCGGGTCTCATCACGGCAGGGAGAGACCTGCTCGTCCTTTCCGTTACTGGTGGTTCTAGTCAAGACGGGTGTCGAGATTACAATCCTTTCCTGTTTATCTTTTACTTTTTATTGTGGGATTGGAAGCCCCGTGCCCACCGCCATCTCCATGGGCACCTGCGTGTGGCCCCTTGTGGTGGTCCTCGTGGTGGTCGGCACGAAGTCCCACCGTCCAGCACAGCAGCAGAGCGGTGGTTGAGGAAAGAAGAGCATTCTTTTTTTTTTTTTTTTTAACTCATCTTTATTGTTGTTGAATGTATCACAGATGTCTCCCCTTTTTTTTCCCTCTCCTCCCCAGTCCCGCCCCCCTCCTGCCTTCCCCACACTATTGTCAGTGTCCATTGGTTATACGTGTGTGCATAGAAGTCTTTGGTTTCTCTCATCCTGCCCTCCCTGCCCCCTTTCCTTTGAGGTTCATCAGTCTAACAACTAATTTGTCTTTAATTCCTTCATCTATTTCACCCATCCCCTCATCTGGCAAGCAACTGGAAGTTCTCTGTATCTATGAGTCTGTTTCTGTTCTGCTTGCTTGTTTTGTTTGTAGATTCAAGTGTTGATAGATATGTATTAATTGCCATTTTATTGCTGATATTTTTGTTCTCCTTCAAGAAGACCCTTCATCATTTCATATAATACTGGTTTGGTGGTGATGAACTCCTTTAGATTTTTCTTTTCTTGTCTTTTTTTTTTTTTATCCTCACCCAAAGACATTTTTCCATTTTTTGTTTGTTTAGGTAGAGTGGGAGGGAAAGAGAGAGAGAAACTTCAGCATGAAAGGGACACATCGAGTGGTTGCCACCCACACAGCCCAACCAGGGCTGGGGACAGACTGCAACTGAGGTACATGCCCTTAGCGGGAACCGAACCCGGGACTCTCTGGACCTCAGGCTGACGCTCTAACCGCCTAGCCAAACCGGCCAGGGCTGGGAAACTCTTGATATGTCCATCAGTTCTAAATGACAGCTTTGCAGAATGGAGTAATCTTGGATGTAGGTTGTTGCTTTTTTGTCACCTTGAATATCTCTCACCACTCCCTTCTGGCCTGCAAAGTTTCTTTTTTTTTTCTTTTCTTTTTTTATCCTCACCCGAGGACATTTTTTTCATTTTTTGTTCAGGTAGAGTGGGAGGGAGAGAGAGGAACAGAGAGAGAGAGAAACATCGATGTGAAAGGAACACATCGAGTGACTGCCACCCGCACAACCGACCAGGGCCGGGGACAAACTGCAACTGAGGTACATGCCCTTAGCGGGAACTGAACCTGGGTCTCTCAGGACCGCAGGCCGTCGCTCTAACCACTGAGCCAAACCGGCCAGGGCTGCAAAGTTTCTTTTGAGAAATCAGTTGACATTCTTATGGGAGCGCCTTTGTAGGTAATGAACTGCTTTTCTCTTGCTGCTTTTAAGATTCTCTCTTTGTTTTGAACCTTTGGCATTTTGATGATGATGTGTTTTGGTGTGGGCCTCTTGGGGTTCATCTTGTTTGGGACTCTCTGTGCTTCCTGGACTTGTATGTCTGTTTCCTTCACCAGGTTAGGGAAGTTTTCTGTCATTATTATTTCAAAGAGGTTTTCAATTTCTTGTTCTCTCTCGTCTCCTTCTGGCACCCCCAAGAGCGAATGTTGGCACACTTGAAGTTGTCCCAGAGGCTCCTTATACTATCCTCATTTTTTTTTTATTCTTTTTTTCTTTTTATTGTTATGATTGGGTGTGTTTTGCTTCCTTATATTCCAAATCAGTGGTTTGCTTCTTTGCTTTACCATTCTATTATTGATTCCCTGTAGATTAAGAAGAGCCTTTTTATAAACCATGCCCTGATGTCTCGGGCCCATGTCTTGGTCAGGACCACAGTTCTGGTGGTTACACCTTTGTTTAGATGGCTTCTTCTCATCAGGATGCTAATGAGGAGCTTGTTTCCCCGGTTATGAGAGATTCATGGCACTTATTTTGTGGTGTGTTTCGGGTTTTGATGTCTGTGGTTTCCACAAAAGAAGGAATATCTTCTCTGGTCTCACCCCTCCACGGGGATGGAGAGTCCTGGGTGGCTCGCTCCACTTTCTGTTTTTTCCTCTGTCTTCCGGAGGCCCCTCCGGCTCCCACGCCTTCCTGGATCTCCCTGTGGCCATGCCTCCCTCATTGCTGAGGCCTGGGTCTCCCCCTGCCTCTGCCCCTGCCTGTCCAGGCCCCACCTGTGGCTCTCAGAAGTGCTGCTGTGCTGTCCCCCAGGATTCGGTGCTGGTGAGGGAGGGGCGGAGGGTTGACTCCAGCAGGCGATGGGTGATGAGGGACTGGCCTGTTGTGCCCACAGTGGAGACCTTCAGCGACCTGGCCTTCAGCGACATCTTCCTCCACCTGTTCATGGGGAACCTGGTGCTGCTGGCTGAGGAGTTTGCCCTAGAGGACTTCTGCAGCAGCCTGTTCGAGGGCTTTCTGCTCACCGCCGCCCCGAGGTGCGGGGCTGGGGCTGCTGGGCGGGCTGGGGGTGGGTGGGGGCAGGGTGGGGGTGGGCCCTGCAGCCAACTGAGGCCCCTTCCAGGAAGGAGAATGTGCAGAGGCACCTGCTTCGGCTCCTCCTGCACCTGCACCACCGAGTGGCGCCCTCCAGGCTGCAGGCCCTGCAGAAGGCGCTGGAGCCCACCAGCCAGGTCAGTGTGGCCCACCCACACCCGGCGGGGGGAGGGGGGTGCCAGGCGGACCTCTCCTGGGCCGTCCCCACAACCCGTGCTCTCTGCAGAGCGGAGAGGTGGTGAAGGAGCTTTACTCCCAGCTCAGCGAGAAGCTGGAGCAACTGGACTACCGGAAGCCCAGCCCGGCCCCCGCTGCTGAGACCCCGGCCCTAGAGCTGCCCCTCCCCACCGTGCCCGCCCCAGCCGGGCTCTGATGCCTTCCCTGGGGCCACTGGGGACTGGGCAGGGCCCCTGCGGCACAGCCCTGGTTGGTCAGAAGAGGCTCTCTGGACCTGAGGTTGCGGGCCGTGTCTCCTGGAGGCAGGGTGGTGTTTATGGGGGTGGGGGGTGGGCACAGTTGGGACCCTGGGGTCATGCCACGGGCAGGGTGCCCTCCCCTACACCTCAGCCCCACCCTGACCTGGGTCCTGAGTGTTGTGTGCCCATGAATAGGACCCATGTCCCTGCCCCTGGCTTGAGCCCTGCCCACCTGGCCCTTCACTGCCTCCCCGTGGGTAGCTCCCCGCCCACGTGGGTGTGCTCTGCCGTAGGGGACAGCAGGCAGCAAAGGGGGAGGAGAATGCCACCTGCTTTCCAAGGGAAGTGGGCGGCTGGCAGGGGACAGATCCTAACTGGCTGAGTCGGCCTGGCCCCTCTGAGGACCTGTGTGTTTGACAGTGGACAGTCCGCTGCACCAGGACCTGAAGGCAGGGGGCGCTCCTGCCCTGGCCAGCGGCCCCCTGTGGAGCAGGCCTGGCTGAGGCCAGGCCAGGCCCTGCCCCGCCTCCGTTTACCTGGGGTGGAGTGCCCCTTGCTGAGCTGCACTGTCAGCTGTTGTATACGGGGGCTCTTGTAAATAAAACACATTTTGGTAAATCCATCGGATGAGCTTTTCTGTGCCTTCTGGGGGTTAGGGGCACCCGGGACCAGGTGCCTCCTTAGGGGTGTTTCCATCTTGGGGCAGTCGGCACAGGAAGGCCTGGGCATGGCTGTCTTGTCAAGACTGCTCAAAGCCACCAGGTGGGACCATGGTCCACCCTGGGCAGGCCTTACTGCCCCCTACCATGGGTGACATGCTGCGGGTCCTGTTCCATGGAGGTCAACGACCTTGACAGGTGCCATTCTGCAGGGGTGGGGGAGGGGGCTGAGGGAAGTGAAGATGTGGGGGAGGGTGGTCAGAAGGCCCTTGCTTGTGTTTTTGAGAAGGAAGAAATGCACGTCTGCGCTGATGGGGAGGGCCCAGCGGGGGAGAAGTGGCAGCTGTGTTGCCGAGTGTGAGACGGGGCACAGACCCTGTGGGAGCAGGAACTTTATCAGGAGAGGCAACTCGGGTGCAGACGGGGAAGCAGGGAGCCGGGACCCGGGAGGTGGGCCCAGGAGAGAGGGTGAGGAAAGATGGGCCATGGGAGGATCCAGGGGCCAGGCGACCCTGTGTACCCCTGAGGTCAAGGTCAGATGGACAGAGAGCTGCCAGCACTGCTGGGCGTCCCCAGCCCAGACAAGGGGATGAGGGGCCCGGGGTTGAGGGCGCACGAGGGGCGGGCGCGGGTGGGGATGGATGGACCGCTGGGGCGGGGTTCAGGAGCACAGTTGGAGGTCCGCCTTCGGGGCTGTGAGGCCTGGGATAGTCCAGTGACCCTGAGACAGCAGCGCGGTGACCCTGAGCCCAGGGGGGATGAGGGAGCATGGGGCGTGGGAGGTGTGGTCTGCAGATGTGTGTCCACGTGGGAATTCCGGAAGGAGGGCACAGGGTCCCCGCCTCCAGGCCAGCCTGTGGAAGACACCCCCGGGGGCTGGGCGCAATGAGGCGAAGGGACTGAATTCGGGGGTGGGGGTAGAAGTGGGAGGGGAGGCCGCCCAGAGCCAGTCCAGGTGTGGTGGGGTTGGTCCTGTGGGACAGGGACAGGAGGGGTCCTGGGGCCCCTTCATCCTTGGAGATGGGGGTGGAGGTGCAGGAGGCTGCGGCCTTAGCCCCGGGCTCAGGTTCACCACCGACCCTGCTGGGGGGGGGCCCTCTGGGGCACGGTTTCTCCGACCCTGTGTAGGAGCCCCCTCCTCTGGGCCCCAGAGGGTTTGGTGGGTCTGCCTGCAGCAGAAGCAGCCAGTTGGCCAATGGGGACAGGCCTGCCTGACCCCGCCCTCCTCCCATTAGACGCAGCCTGTGCACAGGAAGGACCCCTGCCTCCGTGCTGGGGCAGGGGCAGGGCCTGGACAGTGTCCTTGGGCCTGGTTCCAGGAAGTCCTGGGTGTGGGCTTAAAGCACCCCCGGGCCACATGGAGCGCTCCCCTCGCACCTGGCCCTGCACAGAGGGGACAGCAGGTCCCGGGGAGCAGTAGTGTCTCAGCACAGGGAGCAGGTTCGTGGGGTGTGGTGATGCTGCCGGAAGGCACTGGACAGATGGACGGACAGGAACGCCGTGAGGCACCACGAGGCCCGTGAATCCTGTATTCTGGAGGGAACAGGAGGCCCCAAGCCACAGACTGTCTCCAGGATGCAGGCCGGGGCGCAGGGCAGCCGGAGGGGAGGGACCAGCCATGCAGCGGAGGGGCCTGTGGTGTGGGGCAGAGGTGTGCAGCAGGGGGGCGGAGAAGGCACAGGGGGGCTATGTGGGGGGACCCCAGGCAGGAGAGACAGCCAGGCCTGTGGGACACAGGTGCCAGGACTGGTTTGGGCATCACTGTTGACAAGCCCACTCGGGATGGGCTTGGGCCTGGCAGAGAGCAGTCCCTTGGCCATAATGGGGGGCAGGGTGGGACACCCAGGCAGGCCGTCTGTGCCGAGCCGGCAGGGCAGGAGGGCCACGTGAAGCTGAAGCCAGGGACGGGCCCCAGTTCTCTGAATGCTCTGCCTCCAGGCCCTGAGCCCTGGGAGCCGTTCCCCCAGCGCCGGAACCCTGTCTCTGGGTGTGCTGCCTGTCTTTGGGGGCTCCGGGCTGGGGCACCGGGAGGAAGGGAAAAGAAGGAAAGGGAAATGAGCCCTACTCTGGGCTCCCAGACTGGGGTCAGGGAAGGGGAAGGAGGGGTTGGGGGAGAGGAGAATAGGAAGGAAGGTGGAGACCCCCCAGGGGGCCATGTGGGGGATCAGATGCCAGAGCTAGCCCTGGGGTGCTGGGTGTCTGTGGAGGGCAGATGGAGGTGCAAGGGCCCGTGGGGTCCCAGTGGAGGGGGTGCCCTCAGCCTCATAAGGTAGCCCAGGCCTGCAGGGCTGAGAAGGGCAGGTGACCCTCTGGTCAGGGGACCAGGCCAGCCAGTCAGGCCTCCCTCTCGGGCGCCTCCGTCCAGCCTAAGTCCCGCCCTCGACACACCCCTGACTCACTTCCTTTGCATAGAAGCGGAAACCTCCCCCAGCTTCCTCCACTCTGGACACTCCCTGGGGACCCGCAGGTGCCACTGCCCTCCAGGCCTGAGCTGGTCCAGCGAGGCCCCAGGCCCCTGACCCCAGTCGGACTCTCACGGGGAGCGGCATTTTCTGCTTCCTGTCACAGGCCTCGGTGTCTGGCGCAGGCAGGGGGCTGCCCTGGGGGGCTGGGGGTCAGCAGGAGCCTGGCCTGACTCCGCTGCAGGTATGGGGGTGGTTTGGGGGCCAGGGGCTTGCACCCCACGTCTCTTCAGCTGTCTCCTTAGTGGCTTTTCTCTCCTCCTGCTCTTGACTTTCTGTCCATCTCCCACCCCACCCCCACCCGTCTCGGGGGCTCCTGGCCGCCCTATTGTCAGTGTTCAATGGAGGGATGATGGGAGGATCCTAGTCTTGGAGGGTCGGGGGTTGGGAGGCCTGGGCTCTGCCTGGGAACCGCTGGGGCCCATTCTCAAAAGCAGAAGTTCTGGCCAGACCCTCCTCCCCCCAAGTGTTCTTAAGTGCGTGGGGCGTCTCTCAACTCCAGGGGGTGCTGGGGCCTCTGCTTCCCAGTGGCCCCCTCTTGGTACACCGAGGGCCCCAGGCGCCTGGCAGTCGGAGCTGCGGGCGGGGGCGGGGTCCGGCCTTGACCCTTCTTCACCCCTAATCGGCGTCTGGCCGGCACCGACTCTGGGAAGCCGGGAGGCTGCCCGATAAAGCTGCCCGATAAGTTGCGCCTCCTCCCCCCATCCCCAGCCACTTCCTCAGGGCCCGCGGCTGTTTATGGGAGGACCTGAGGGATTTGCATGGGGCCCCGCGAGGAGCTGCTTCCTGGTCAGAGGGGCGACCCTCCGGCCCCAGGCCCGGAACAGGCCTGGCCTGGGGCAGCGCGGCCGCACTCCGGGCCTCCCGCGGGGGTGAGCTCTCCCTGGGAAAGGGTCCCAGTCCCCTCCCGTCTTCCTGTTGCAGGGAGGGCGACCTGCATGCCGAGCGCACCCCTGCGCCATGGACCGTGGCCAGCCCAGCGTGGAGCCGGTGGCCGCGGCCCGCAGCGCCCCGGGCCCGAGCGTGATGGCGCCGCTGCGCGCCGTGGTCCGCCTGCGCCGCCGCGTGTGCCTCTTGCGCAAGCGGCGCCTCCTGACGCCGGGCGCCGGTCCGGACGCCGGGGCCCTGGAGCCGCGCAGGTGCCCGGACCAGCCGCAGTTCTTCACCTTCGACGGCCCCGCCGAGCTGCCTTCGACGACGCCGCGCAAGAGGCGCCGGCGCAGCCGCGTGGTGCTCTACCCCGAGACCTCGCGCAAGTACCGGCCGCGCGCGGAGCGCCAGAGCCGCGCGCAGCGATGCCTGTTGTTGCTCGTGGCCATCGTGGGCTTCCAGGTGCTCAACGCCATCGAGAACCTGGACGATAACGCGCAACGCTATGACCTGGACGGGCTGGAGAAGGCGCTGCAGCGCGCCGTGTTTGGCCAGCCGGCCGCCGTGGGGCGCATCGTGGCGCTGCTGCGGGACTACCTGTCCACGCACGTGCACAGCCGCCCTCTGCTCCTGGCGCTGCACGGACCCAGCGGCGTGGGCAAGAGCCACGTGGGCCGCCTGCTGGCGCGCCACTTCCGCTCGGTGCTCGAGGACAGCTCGCTGGTGCTGCAGTACCACGTAGGGCACCACTGCCCGGAGTCTCGCGCCGCGCAGGACTGTCGCGAGGAGCTGGCGCGTCATGTGGCCGACGTGGTGGCGCAGGCCGAGGCCGAGGAGAAGACCCCGCTCTTGGTGTTGGACGAGGTGGAGCTGATGCCCCCGGCGCTGCTGGATGAGCTGCACGGCCTCCTGCAGCCGCAGCGCCCCCACCACTTCCACAACGCCGTCTACGTGCTGCTCAGCAGCGCGGGGGGCGCGGAGGTCACGCGCTTCGTGCTGCAGAACGCGTCCCGCACGCTGCCTCCGCACCGCGACGGCGCCCACCGCGCCCGCTCGGAGGAGGAGCTCCGCGCCGGCCTGAAGGCGCTCCTGGTCCGCGAGCACCCGCTGTGGCAGGCCTCGGCCGTCGTGCCCTTCCTGCTGCTGGACAAGTGGGACGTGGTCAACTGCTTCCGGGAGGAGATGGCCGGGGAAGGCTTCTTCCCCGAACAGGCCCGCGCGGAGCTCCTGGCCGAGCAGCTCAGCTACTACCACGTCGCCGGCCGCGAGTTTGCTGTCACTGGCTGCAAGCAGGTGGTGGCCAGGGTGAACCTCTTGTAGCACAGGTGCCGGTGGATGCGCTGGTCACTAGCAGGCAGGACCGGAGGTTTGCTGGCAGTGGGGGGGAGGGGACCCTGTGGATTTGCCCCAGGCCCCTAATAAATCTGTCTCTGGCGGCCCAGATGGTTCAGAAGTCCAATTCCAATCCCCCAAATTCCCCAGTCTGCTCCCACGGGGTTCTTAATTCGGCCACAGTCCTCAGCGCCTACTGTGTGCCCCACGTCACAGGCACCCCAGGAGATGGGCAGTCTGTCCCCATGGTACAGAAGATGTGATCTCACTGGTGTCACACAGGTGGTCCCCTATAGCGCTGTCTGTGCTCCTGCTCAGTGGGCGACAACAGCAGCCGTCACACACGCACACACTCCAGTCCACTGCTTGCACACCTGCTCACCCTGGGGACCCCCTATAGCTCTGTCTGTGCTCCTGCCCAGTGGGGCGACAACAGCAGCCGTCACACACGCACACACTCCAGTCCACTGCTTGCACACCTGCTCACCCTGGGGACCGGGAGGTCAGGGTGCCTCTCCAGCCCCGTGACTTGGGGAAACGGCCTGAATTTATAGTGTCCTCTTAGGCCCCGGAGGCAGCAGCGTGGGTGTGTGAACAGGTCCAGTGGAATGCTCCAGAAGGGAGCTCTGTCAGGGTGAAGGAGGCAGGAGGTGGCCCAAGTGGGGGACTGACCTCTCGGATTTCCCTGCCCTGGCCCCCAGCCTTCTCCAGAGCTCTGCCCTGGGGGAGGCATCAGAGGTACGCATTTCTTAGATTCCGGGGCAGAGCCCTGGCCCCACTGCTCCCCAGGCCTGGGGGGAGCTCACCCCTGCCAACCCAGACCCTCCGGGGCTCCCGGCAGCCCGCGCCCACCCCTGTTCTGCAGTCGCCTTTTGCGCGGAGACTCTGGGAAGGTGGCCCTCACCCCTCCCGCAGCCCCACGCCGAGGGCGGCCTCAGTGCTGCCGCCTGGTGGCCGCGCCGGTCAGCCTGGGCTGCGGTGGCCGCGGGAGCGGGTCCCGCGTCTCCCGGCCGCACTTACTGAGTGTCCAGTCCACCTGAGAGGGACGCATGACCTCGGGGGGAGACAAATGCACAGAGAATAAGTACGCCGACAACAGCCAGTCCCCAAAGGGGGGGCGGAAGTTTGGGGGCCGTCGGGGGGGCGCACCGCCAAGGTGAAGCGGACCCTGCCAGAGCTCGGTTCTCCAGCAGGTGCCAGTGTGCCCGGCAGGAAGGTGTGCGCCGCCCACCTCTGAACTCAGCTCGACCCCCACCCTCGGCACCACCGGGGCAGGTGTCCTAGAGCGGCTCCCTGATGGCCCCGGGTGACGCAGCCCCTGCCCCCGCCATCTGCGGACCTGGGCCGAGGTCTTCTGGCCAAGGGGAGGGATTTAGGTCCCGGTGCCTGGAATTAGTAAATATACAGAGTTGTGCAAACGTCACAATTCGGGCTTAGAATATTTCCCTAACCCAGCAAGCTGTGTTCTGCTCGTGCTCAGTGCATGGGTGAAGGGGTCACCTCCCTCCATGGAGAGGGAAGGAGGCTGGACTTCCCGAGGTGAGCACACATGAGCGGACAGATGTCCAGTTACAATGCTGCACACCTGAAATCTACACAATCTTAATAACCAGTGTTACCTCAATTTAAAATACTTTTTAAAAGATTAAGAAGTTCTGGGGATTATAGCTAATAAACAAGCAAAAGAAAACAAAAACCCCCAGGTGTTGGCAGGATCCCAGAACACTGGCTGGAGACCTCCACCAGCAAGGACAGCAGGCTTCCCGGCAGGCACCCTGCTGACTGAAGCAGAATCCTGCCTTGCTGCCGGCCGCCTGGCCACTGCCAGCGTCGACCTCGGGTGGTTTGTTTTTGTTTTTGTTTTTTTATCCTCACCCGAGGACATTTTTCCATTTTTTGTTCAGATAGAGCGGGAGGGAGAGAGAGGAAGAGAGAGAGAAAGAAACATCGATGTGAAGGGACACATCGAGTGGCTGCCACCCGCACGACCAACCAGGGCCGGGGACAAACTGCAACCGAGGTACATGCCCTTAGCGGGAACCGAACATGGTTCTCTCTGTACCGCAGGCCGACGCTCCAACCGCTGAGCCAAACCGGCCAGGGCCCTCAGGTGGTTTTGAAGGAAAATTCTGGCTTGCCTTCCATGGGGGTAGCCTTGACCTCTGTTTACTAAGGGACTGAACAGGGACCTTTCTCTTCCACTAAAAGGACCAGGATGTGGGAAACCATGTCCACTACAGATTTAATTTGGCAAACCGGCTTGCTCACGTCACAGACGGGTCACCTGAGAGAAAGCCGCTAGCCCCAGCCGGTGGCTTGGTTGGTTGGAGCATCGTCCCGTGCACCAAAAGGCAGCAGATTCGATTCTTGGTCAGGGCACACACCAAGGTTTCTGGTTCAACCCCTGGTCAGGGTGTGTACAGGAAGCAACCAATCTACATTTCTCTTTCTCTCTCCCTCTTCCTCTCTCTCAAATCAATAAGCATATCCTCAGTGGAAAGAAAAAGCTAAAATTCTTCATTTTCGGTCCAGCTACTGAAGGTCCCCATACAAAACACCAAACCCCTACTTTCTGCTATGACTGCAAAGTGCCGGGACACTGGAAAAGGGACCTTACAAACGTAAGCTTGAGGTACCCTGAGCCCTCCAGCCAACTCCCATGTCCTCCCAGTTCCCAATGATGGGGCTCCAGGGACTACGGGGCTTGTCCACGTCCTCCGCCCTCCAGACTGGGCGTCCATCTCTGTCCTAGTCACACTGAGGCCGCACTCAGCCAGCCCCCTGCTGTGAGCCTCGCATGCAGGTATGGGGTCTCCAGTGAACCTCACAGGCTCCTCACTTTGAGCCTGTCCCCTTTTGTCTGGGCCCTTTGAGAGGTCCCCACCCTTTTCTCCTAGTCCCCCCACCTCTGCTCATGAACTAGGCTGAGGCTTCCAGAGGAGTCTTGTGCTGGAATTTCTCCCAAAGCGGGGACCATCACCCTAGAATTTGACGGTTGTCAGAATAATTAGGGGAACTCAATGTCCCTCGACATCTCTCTGCTCCGTTTCCGAAGGCCAGTGGGAGCACTGACCACTGCTCCCCCAGAGTCAGCTGCCCCGTCTTTATGGGCAGCGTCTGTGGCTGATGTGGCCGAATCCCCAGCACACCCCCTATTAAGATTCAAACAGAATCTTAAAGCCTCTTCCAGAATTACTCTCTCCCAAGAGGCCCTGCCGGGCATTGTGCCCACTGTCGAGATCACAGGACTCCGGGGCCTTGGCCCTGCACCTGCTCCAGTAACCGATTCACCTGTGAGCCGGCCACACCGGGGCTGGGCACGTCCAGGACCTGGAGCAGTAACTGCCCGGTCATCCCTGGACACCCCGTCCCTGACCCTTCGATGCTGGCCTCCATCCCAGCTGGAAGGAAATGCTTTCTTGGAACTAACTCCCGCCACGCCTTCTGCAGATTTCGGGCGATGACGCCAATGCCTGTGCTTCACGTGGAAAGGAAATGACTCACCGGGCCCGTGTAGCCCTGGGTTTTTCTGAGAGGTCCTCTTCTCACAAGTCCTGGGACAAAGTTGGATGACAGGCCCTTCCCGAGAGGTTCCACCTGGTTGCTTCCTCCCAGGCCTCCTCCCGGGAAGACAGCATCCACTTACTGAGGCTCTTAGCCTTTAAGGGACTTACGGTTGCCAGGGAAAATTGGCAGTTTGCCCAAACCCAGGTTTGATATTTGAGCATCTGATATCAGAACCAGGGCTGCACCTGGACCCGCACAGCTTCCTGGACCCTAAGCATCCAAGGCCCCAGAACTGGCATCCGCAGCAGGACTGTCAGGCTGGTCAGCTACGGCCCCAACAGTCCCAACCCCTCGCGAGGCCCGGCCTCTGTTTACTAAACCGATGATGTTTCTCTCACGTGGATGTTTCTCTCTCTCTCTCTCTCTCTCTCTCTCTCTCTCTAAGTTAATAAAAACATATCCTTGGGTGAAGATTTTTAAAACTCCCAGGGCATGCTAGTCATGGCCCCTGGAAGCCACAGGAAGTCTCCTGTCGCCCTTCCACGGGAATGCTGCCCAAGGAGCCGGCGGCAGCCACGCCCGTCATGTCCGCAGGAGCATCTCTGAGCTGCTGCCTTAGAACTGTCCAGAGAAGCCCCGCAGGTGGCCTCAGGAGGCAAACAGATCGGACACCCACCGACTGTTGGTTTGATAAAAAGGGCAACTCGTTCAGACCGAGTAACAGGTCCGTCCTCCTGGAGACTCGGTTTTCCTCCAGACCACTGGACAAGCACTGGGCACGGGTCACCGACCGTGCACATTGGAGAGTCCGCAATGGGCCAGTGAGGAGGCTGTGCCCACGGTCCGCTTGCGCCACAGCCCAGGGAGAGTCTGCCTGGCCCTGGACATTTCTTTCTTTTCTTTCTTTCTTCTTTCTTTCTTTCTTTCTTTCTTTCTTTCTTTCTTTCTTTCTTTCTCTCTCTCTCTCTCTCTCTCTCTCCCTCCCTCCCTCCCTCCCTCCCTCCCTTCTTTTTTTTTTTAATCCTCACCCGAGGACATTTTTCCATTTTCTGTACAGATAGAGTGGGAGGGAGAGAGAGGAAGAGAGAGAGAGGGAAACATCGATGTGAAAGGGACACATCGAGTGGCTGCCCCCTGCACGACCAATCAGGGCCGGGGACAAACTGCAACCGAGGTACATGCCCTTAGCGGGAACCGATCCCGGGTCTCTCCAGACCGCAGGTGGACGCTCCAACCGCTGAGCCAAACTGGCCAGGGCCCTTCCTTCCTTCTTTTTAATGTTTTTATTGATTTTTTTTTAGAGAGAGAGGAAGGGAGAGAGAGAAACATTGATTGGTCGCCTCCTGCACGCCCCCTACTGGGGATCGAGCCCGCAGCCCGGGCATGTGCCCTGACCGGGAATCGAACCAGAACCTCTCAGTCCAGGGATGATGCTCAGTCCACCGAGCCACGCCGCTGGGCTGCCCCTGGACATTTAAAATTGCCTCCGGCCCTGGCCGGTTTGGCTCAACGGTTAAAGAGTCAACCTGCGGTCCAGAGAGACCCGGGTTCGGTTCCCACTAAGGGCATGTACCTCGGTTGTAGTTTGTCCCCGGCCCTGGTTGGTCGTGCGGGTGGCAGCCACTCGATGTGTCCCTTTCACATTGATGTTTCTCTCTCTCTTCCTCTCTCTCCCTCCCACTCTACCTGAACAAAAAAATAGAAAAATATCCTCGGGTGAGGATTAAAAAAAAAAAAAAAATTGCCTCCGGACCTCTGGGGGTCTGGGAACAGTTTCCTGTAGCTCCTGTCTCCTGGGTGTGGGTAGCTCAGTCACGGTCTGGCGTTTTCTCACCGGATGGAGCCGTTTCCTTGCAGACAGGCTCAAGTTTGGTCGGAGAAAGTGGCCCACCTGGGGAGCTCCTCTGGACCCACACAGGGGCCCAGAAACCCATTTTCCTGGTCAGGTGCTGCAACACGTCTGTGCTGTTTGGCTGGTTTTACAGTCTCACTGGGCTTATCAGTCACCCTGAGGGGCAGTTGAATACACT